TATTAAGTTTTTTATTGTTGTTCTATTGCTTTCTTTTGATTCAGTTTTCATTCATTTCTCACTGACATTTTTACTTGCAATCAAATTTCTCCTTTAATACCAGTAACTTCTAAAATGCTGCCCACCATGCCACGTCCACTTAAGATACAGAAAGCCACAGAGAATACCATCCCTAGTAACAAAAGGCTCCTTTCCCAACCAAAGCCTGAGATGTATTGAACACATCAGAGAGCTGGGGTCACAAGGCAGTCTGGTGAGCTAATTCCCAAGTGACATGAGAAATATCACCCTTCGCAGAGCTCAGTACAAGGAAGTGGTGTCTTAGTCCCTTTCTCGTCACTGAGGCACAATACCCAACACCCACGACTTCAAAGAGGAGAGGTTTATTTTGGCTTACAGGTTTTAGAGGATTCAGTCCATGGTCAGCTGGCTCCAAGACAGAAACAGCAGGGCAGAGGGCCCTGGCGGAGGAAAGCTGCTCAAATCATGGTGGCCAGGAAGCAGAGAGAAAAAGGAGGAGCCAGAGAGGGAGATGGACCCTTCCAGCCACACTTAGTGACCGCCAGGCCCCGCCTCCTAACAGCCAATCCGCCATGAGCCCCCATGATCCAGTCACCCTTCCAAGAGCCCTGCCTCTGAGTATATGAGTCTTTGCCGCTGTTCTGGATGTAGACCACCACAGGCGGTCATCATGCGAGCAGGAATAAGAAAGCAAGTAAGATCCAAATGAGTTCTTACAGAGAAAGTGTGAGCTAGCAAGACAACGCTATGAGCCTCTGGAACAAGAGGAGTCCAAGTTGTCTCCCAAGCTTTCCCCTGGGTCTGAGTGGGAACTCCTGAAAAAGTTGAGGGGCAGAGTCCGAGCTGGAGAAACTCCTTTTGGTAGGACACAGACAAGAGATTCCAACCACTTCCAGGACTTTATTTCTAAACCATAGCTTTCAACCTGCAAACCTCCCCAGCTCCCGGGTCCAAGCAAAGGTTCTCTTGTTCCTGGGAAGGGACAAAAGCAAATGCCTGCCATGCGCCTGTGGGAAGAACAAGAGACCCTCTGGTCCAGGATACTATACAGATTCTGCCACTGAGGCAGAGGAAGGAAACTCTCCTACTCAAGCACTCCACAGATCCCTGGCAAAGAACAGCTCTAAAACGGACAGGAGACCTCCCACAGCCCCCATCCCAAGGTCCTCCAACCCTGAGGCTGGGCCAGGAGAACTGAGAACTCAGCACAACAGCTTCATACTGACCGGTGAGCTGGGGCAGGGAGACAGGCATCGGGCAGCTCCAGGTCACAGTGAGAGCTGCAGCACCCTGACCACCTCGGGACCCAACCATCACAAGATCACGAGCCAACCTCACCCACACCCACCACCAACTACCTAGGGTAACTACGAACAAAGCTGACCCTGCCTCTACAGAAGAGGCCCACCCGTGATGTCCTTTGTCCCCTCCTTGTTGGACAAGCATGGTCTGACATTTGTTCAAAACTACAAGATACTCAAAAAAGAAAAAAAAATCATTTTCAAGACAAAGTGATCAACAGAACCAGACAGAGAGATGGCCCAGACCTTGGAAAACAATCAAGAAACTTTAAAATAGCTATCAATGTGTTAAAGGCTGTCATAGAAAAAGCAGGCTGGAACGCTAGAAAAGATGGTCTCAGTAGAGAGAAGAAAACTGTAGGAAAGAATCAAATCAAATAGAAAATCTAGAATAAAATGGATACATATTGAAGATATACTCCTAAGTGAAATAAATAAGTCCCACATGTGTAAATACCAAATAGTTTCCCTGGTGTGAATATTCTGCAACAATGCATAAGATTCTAATAAGATTACTGACATTTAGAAATGGGAGGAAAGGAGCTAAAGGTGTAGGGAAGGTGTGATACGTAGGGGAAGAACAAAAAGGGAAAAGAAAAAAATGTGAGAGAATGAAAAGATGAAAATAAAGTGTTTGTAGATGGGGAGGGGAGGAGGGGGTGAAGGGAGGTTAAAAAAAAAAAAAGAAAGAAAATCTAGAATAAAAGTGCAATGTCAGAAGTGAAGATCTCTTTGATAGGCTGATCAGGAGGTAGCTAAGAAAGGAATCAGTGGATTTAAAGATAATCAATAGAGATGGATATGGTGATGTATGTCCGTCATCCCAGTACTCAAGGGCTGAGGTAGGAGGACCACAAAGTTCAGATCAGCCCAAAAAAAAAAAAAGAAAGAAAATCTAGAATAAAAGTGCAATGTCAGAAGTGAAGATCTCTTTGATAGGCTGATCAGGAGGTAGCTAAGAAAGGAATCAGTGGATTTAAAGATAATCAATAGAGATGGATATGGTGATGTATGTCCGTCATCCCAGTACTCAAGGGCTGAGGTAGGAGGACCACAAAGTTCAGATCAGCCCAGGCAATTAAGTGACGAACAAGACCTTGTCTCAATAAAAAGTAAAGAAAGCGCTGGTGGTACGGCTCAGTATGAATGCTCTGGGTCAATCCCTAGTACTGAAAAAGAAAAAAGTCAACAGAAATTGTACAAACAAAAACCAAAGGGAAAGAAAAAAAGTTTTTAAAGGAACCCAAGAACTGTGGAACAATAGCAAGTGGTCTAAGATTGCAGAGAGAAACAGAGAGGTTTAAAAAAAAAAAGTAAAAATGTAAAGAAAGGAAGAGAGCTTTTCAGTGCGTCATGCTAGAAAATCTACACATCCATCTAAAAGTGAACTCTGACCATTTCTTCACACAAAATTAACCTTAAAACAAATCATAAAATGGGGCCGGGGATTTAGCTCAATGGTTCGGTGGCCTGCCTAGCAAGCTCAAGGACCCGAGTTCAATCCCCAGTACCAAAAAAATAAAATAAAATAAAACAAATCATAAAATGAACAACATGTGTTAGAATATGAAAAAACAAGGTAGAAGCTGAAAAAAGGCATTTGCAAAACACACATTTGATAAAGGGTTTGTATACACAGTATATCCTGTAATAGCACCATAACATGCAGACAAATAATTTAATTTTAAAAACTAGTGAATGGTTCACCAAAAAGATCCATGGATGGCAACAAAACATGAAAAGATGCTCAACATGACAGAAATGAAAATTAAAACTACAATGAAATAATTCAACTCTGTGCCAATTCTAATAGCTAAAGCGGCAAAGACGGATAACACCAAGTGCTAGAGAGGCTGAGGGGTAAATAAGCTTTCATTTAGTGCTGACTGGAATGTGAAATGGCCCAGTCACTAGGGAAACAATTTGGAGATTGTGTTTCCAAAGTTAAACTTGTGCTTGTTACAGTTCCAATATGATGCAATAACCTCCTCCTAGTGATTCCGGAGAAAAAGAAGTACGTTCAAGAGACATGAAAACACGCTTCCTTCCACACCAAGGCTGCTCACGAGGGTTTACAACGGCTCTATTCACAGTAGTCAGATCCTGCAAATAACCCAGATGTCCGCCGGGGGATAAAGAGAGCAACTACAGTCATGATCCCAGGGAATTCCACTCAACAAAAGGCTACATGCTCTATGATTCTGTTTATGTATCGTGGAAAAAGGTAAAACCACAGACAGAAATGGGGCTCGAAGGCTGGAGGCAGAACACGAATCCAGGGCTGTAGATCTTCCCCGCCTTGCTCTCGGCCCGGCTCACACTACGTAGGTCTTTGTCAAAACTTCCCAAACTGGGTATTTTATGAGAGTGAGTTTCACTGTGTTACTCATACCTCAGTAACCCCAACCCAAAGAAATGAATACATAAATAGTGCTTTGACAAAACACTGGTGTGTGGTGCTTTGACAAAACACTGGTGTGTGGATATTCGTGTGGAAACAAAACTGATCTCAACTATGTCACTTCAAGCCTATAATATTATCTACTGCATACTTACAAGAAGAGCTTCTATGAAATTATAAAGTATGTATTTTGTATTGGAGAGGGTACAGAAAAATCAGAAACTTCATATACTCCCAGTTGGGATGTAAATTTTTTAATCACTGCAACACTAACTGATAATATCTTCTATAGCTGTATGTATGCCAGCAGACCCAGAGATTCCCCTTTTGCACACACAGATGCAGCAGAAATGTGTGCATGCAATAAAGACAAAAGTATAATTTAACAAAAAATGACTCAAGAAGAAATAGAAAATCTAAATAAATCAGGGACTAAATCAGCAAGTGAAAATTCTTCCAGCAAGAAGGCATCAGGCCCAAAGTGTTCTCTTGTCAAGTTCCACCACACATTCAAGTACCACATAATTCTTATTTTTTGAAAACCACTGCTAACAAGGAAAATACCAGAAAAAACATTTTTGTCCAATCTCGCTTATGTCTAAAACTTGGCATACTATATATATAGCAAGTATAGAAAATATAATGGCAGTTTCCCACTTTCCAGGTACTCCTTCTGTGTCTCTTAGACAGAAGCTATCTTTCGATAAATTCTTCCTACTCTTAGAAAGAAAGACAGAAAATGTAATGTACCCTGACCAAGTTGGTTTTATCTCTGTAATGCAAGGTAGCTCAACATTAGAAAAATCAATAAATGTTAAAGAACCACAAAAAAATGAAAATATTTTTAAAAGTCATTTGATCATCTCTGTCGACATTAAAAAGCATTCAATAGAGTTCAGCATCCATACTCAAGAACTTTTGAGAACTAGAAATAGAAGAGAAAGCTTATTAATCTGGTAGAGAGTTCTGGTAGAGTGTAAAATATCTCAAACACCTTCACCAAAGGAAATACCATAATTAAGTACGTACCACTTACCTACTTAACTATCTGAAGAAATTTAGAGTCCCTCCTTTTTTTTTTTTTTTTTGTATAATAATGCAGGCTGAGGTGCATACCTTTGTGCACTCTGGCCCAGTTGCCTAACATCCTGATACCTGAATTCCTCCCGTGTAAGGCAGGAAGAGTAACACGGCGCCCAACTCACCTGGGCTAGGTGAGGTTTAAATAAAAAGTTGGAATCAGGAGTTGACACTGGGGAAAAGTGTCCTGTGTTTACCTGGTGAGGGCCTCGTCCCCCGGCAAGCAGCAGGCGCGACTGGAAGTCACTGTAAAAGCAAAGAAAGGGACAACTTAGCCGTCGGAGTCGGAAGACTGCGGTCAGCGGCGGGCCTGTCACTTTCCCCGGCTCCCTGCACACCTCTGGGATCTCTGCCCATCCTGGCTTCCCCCTCTCTAATCAGCCAAGTGTGACCCTTCCCAGGGCCCCTCCATCTGGCTGCCCCCCACAGCAGCTGCAGAGATAACTCTAAAGCCTGAGCATGACATTCTTCCCCTGAAATCTTTGCCATGACTTCCTCTCAATCGCCAGCTGCAGGCCACACGCCCCTCCACGACTTACAAGGCCCCTGTGAGGCACTGGCCACCTCCTCCTCCAGCCCTCAGCCCTCTGCACTGGCCGCTCTGCTCTGTAATCCTCCAGGTCCTGTTCTTCTGCCTCCCAGCTCCACAGGCTCAGCCCAGTGGCCAGGACCACCCCGCCTCCCGGTGCTCCTCCACCCAACTCATCGTTCCCATCCTCCATCCTACTCATCCTTCTGTTCTCCACGCAAGTGTCCCTGGGCTGAGTGCCAGGCCCTCCTGCTGCCCAGACAGGCCTGGGCTCCCCTGGGCACTTTCCTCAAAGCCTGCTTTTTCCCTTGGTAATATCACAAGCATCTACTCACTCAACACATCCTGGCCTCATCGTGACAAGAGTCCCCTGTGTCTGCCTGGGACAGCTGTGTCCTCAATACCTAGCCTGGCTCTAGACCCAGGGAACACACTTAACAGATCCTTGTGTCAAAATGAGTAAGCCCATTCCTCACCCCTTAGCTTCCCAAGCCAGCTGTGGATTCATACTGATGGTTTAGTAAGGTTTCCCCTTCAACATCATACTGTATGGATGGTCAGGATTCGCTGATTATAGAATCATGCTACTTTCTATACGAATACGAAAGGAAATGACAGCACAAGTGCGATACAACTTTTATGTTATGCTTATTTAAAAGAGCTCTACTTCTTTTAGACATGGATTCTTATTGTGGACATAAAGCGGAAAATATGAAAATATAAGTGAAATAAATTCATTGGTGTTACGGTTTGGGTCTAAAATGGTCCCTAAAGCCTCATGTGTTTTAAAGCTGACCGAAACATGGGGACTCACAGCTGACTGGCCGGTAGGGGGCAAGGCCTGGTGAGCGGGGGCGGGGCCTGGTGAATAGGGGTGGGGCCTGGGCAGGGCCTGGGTGGGTTCATCTCCCTCCTGCCTTGTCCCTTCTCTTCCGGCTTCCTGTTCACCATGCCCTGAGCAGATCTCCTCTGCCAGGCCTCTCTGGTTTGCTGCTCTGCCTCGGAGCCAGCCACCTGGACTGAAACCTCCACAAACTGTGAACCAAAATAAACCTCTCCTTCCTTTAAGTTATAGGTGTTGGGTATCATGTCTCAGTGATGACAGAGGGACTGAGACAGCTGGGAACCCCAGGTTAAATCAGCACACACTCATATTGTCCTCTGGCCATCAGGAGCACTCGTGATGTGGCAACTGGAAGAGCTCCCAGTCACCTTTGGGACCTTCTCCTACACTGGCATCTTCCCACAAGTGTTTATGCTGGCAAGAAAATCATAGTAACAGATGTCACCAGAAGATTTCAGTCAACACCCAAGAGTCACATTTTTTTCTCAGGCAGCTGCTGAATTGAACACCGACTGAAAAATAAGGGGTACAGTCGGGCAAGTAGAACTACCAGGTACACATACACACACTGAGCGGAGGCACTGTGAATACACCACAACTCCCCCCACTAATTACAACAAAAGATCCTTTGAGTTGTGTAACACGTCCATGTAATCCAGACTATCACAATGTGGAGAAACAAAACTTAAAATACAAGAGATTCAAGAGACTGTGCAGAGAACTCTGGAAATCAAAGAAAAGAATGCCAGTCCTCTCACACACAGGTACAGGCCCACAGGCACATTTCCCACATGCGTCAGACTCAGGACCACAAACTGATGCTCACAGGTAGCTCACAAGTGAACCCACCTCCTCTGGCCACACCCTGGCCCTGGGAGGCATTTCCGGCTGTCCACTCCCAGTGGAGGGCGGGCTCCTCCCAGAGGACTCCCTTCTCAGTAGCGTGCCATTACTGAAAGGTGTTTAGCGACACTGTCGGGACACATGGAAGAGTCCCGGAAAGCACCGTATGGAAAGGACTGCAGTGCAGAGGCTTCCTGCGCACCACCCAGCATGCTGGGACTCTGAGACAGTCCGTGGGTTCTCAGCCAGGGCTTTGAAAATGAGGAAGGAAAAGATGCCCAGGCAAAGCCAGTAGGCCTCTCTGTGACTCAGTTTTCTCCTCTGTAAAAATGGACAAACAGGACCGGATGATGTATTAGCTCAGGGTCCCAGCAGACACAAGGTGCTCACTGAAATGGTTGCTTTGACAAGGGGGCCGAGTATGGGGTGTGGACTGGGTAAAGACATCACCTCTTGCCCGCAGATCTAGACAGAAACCAGGACCGGGAAGCTCACTCCTGTAGCCCATGGTGACCAGCCTGCCCGGACACAGAGCTGTGGGGTGGGAGGGATGAACAGATTCTCAGCCTCGGTCATCTCTGGTACGGATTCAACTATGCTATTGCGAGAAGAAACATCCCAGAGCTCTGAGGAAAATCCATGTGGACACATGGCATTCAGCAAGGCCTGGGCAGACACAGCTCCCCTGGCCTCTCCAGGAAGGAGACAGCACCCAGGGAGGGCACGGCACTAGGCCGGCCTGCTCTCGGGGCTGAGCCTTACAAACAGAGTGGGGTTCAATTGTGAGCTAGTAGTTGATGCCCCCGCAGTACCCCAAGATCCCAGGAGCAGGATCTCGACATCCACTACCTCAGAAGACAATTTCCATCAGAGACAAGGAAAAAGCTTCTGACTTTTTCCTCACTGGACCCAGATGACAGGAAGAGCTGGGCTACGCTCCCCGCTACACACACCCGCCCTGCCCCACACCAGGCCAGCCCTTGGGTTCCATGTGGAGGGAGAACAGAGAAGGCCAGGCTTGCATGATGGAGGTGGCCCCTCGGGAAAGACCTCCCCAGCCCTTTCCCACCGCTCTGGGCCAGGAAATGGTGAGGCTAGTGGCCTCTCTCCTCTTCTCACCCAACTCCTTTCGGAACCTCTCCTCGCTCCCTGGGCTGGGCCACTGCCCCCTCTGAGTGCCATTGGCACCGCCCTCCCTCCACAGCTGGGTCCCATGGGCCCCCAGTCCTGGGACTGAGGTATGAGAGTTTTAGCGGGAAGACTCAAGGGGCCTTTCAGACATGGCCCTGGAGATGTGGCTGCTTCGTGGCAGTTCCCAGGTCCGTGTGCCCAGGCCCAGGCCCTGCAGAGGCCCCTGTTCCCCATCTGCTCTTCCCTGAGTGTAGAGGCGATGCCTCCTTCAGAGCACAGAGTTTCGCTGGAACTGTGGTACTGATGTCCACAGCGGTAGCAAGGCCACTAGAGAGTGTCAGGCTGGGCCAGAGACAACTCAGAATAGACGGGACCATGCTGGGCTCCAACAAAGACCCACCGGGAGGAAACAAAAATGAGTTTTCAGAAAAAAACACATGTTTTTTTTCAGATGAGCCAAAGCATTTCCAAGTGAAGGGAGACTGACTTCCGGCCACTCACACAGCCCCAGGCGCAGGAGACCTTGTGAGCTTCCATGGAGAGGCCCAGAGCAGCAGAGCTCCGTGACCACCTCGCTGCATGTCCAGGTGCACCGCCCTCCTCTCCTCCGCACAAATCCTGGGGTTGTGGGCTAAGATCATTATCCAGATCCCTCCCAGCTTGAAGAATATCTGACTTTCGAGCTGGAAATGGGGTTTTCAAGTTCAGAGTCCAAGGATTTGACACTGAAAAATGAAGTGAGAAGGATGAACTGCAGCTATCAGCCAGCAAGGCTCTGGGCTGACAAAGAACAGAACCCGGGCCCCGGGAAGACCCTGCCGACAGGGCCTCACTGCATCCCTGGCGGCAGCGGCTCTCCTTTCCACCCAGGAATGGGCAGCCACAAGATGAAGTGTCCCGGGGTTCCTCAGGGACACTCCTCAGAGCGGCCAGGCCATTTCCCTGGCTTTGGGCTCAAGTTTAGGTGAAACTCTTACAAGTGGAGATCTGTCAAGAGCTAAATCTAAAATCCTGCTGCTCTTCTGCCGGAGTCCTTAAAGAGAAGAGCGCCAGATGTTGGACTTGTTATTTCTCCGGGAACTGGCTGAGAAGAAAACAGAACGTGGTGCACCGGCTTGTAATATTTAACTGTTTTTGAAAACTCACCATCAAAACATACCAAAAATAACATACTTTCAAAGCTGACAAAGTTGAACATCTCACAAACACACGCAAAATAAGTCTGCCCTGAGAAACTCCGAATAAAGCAATCTGTCCATTGTAAAATGCTAGCGCTCCTTCATAAATAGTTTGCGCGCCTCCAGTTCTTTCAATAAACACCACGTTGGCATATCAAGAACATCCGGCAAGACTTCGCCGGCCTCTGAGAACACAACTGCAGCAGTCATGGGACCCCAGTCTGGCTCGGCCACTGCACTCAGCACTCCGCAGGGGCAAATGGAGCTCGTCTGCTGCTCAGAGAGCCCCACCCCACTCGCCCAGGAAACAGCCAGCCAGCCCTGCAGGTCGTAACTACCACAGGCCCCTGTGTCCTCCTCCGTCCCTGCTGCCACAGCCGTGGGTCCAGCCTTCCCCCTCCTCCTACCGGAAACGAAGACCCGCAGCCTTCGGTGTCCTCCACCCTCTCATCCACCCGAGACACCTCTTCCTCCAGCCCACATTTGCCTGCTCATACCCACCCTGCACAACTCCCCACTGCTGTCGGCGGAACTCAAAATTCAGTGTGGGATCCTCCCTCGCAGCCTGTGCTCCAGCCTTAAGAAACCGCTTAGTTTCCAACCAGCTCACCCATCCCACTTGCAAAAGTTCCACTTGATCATTTTCTCTTTCAAAATAAAAACTCCTCTTACCTGTGTCCCAGGTCCAGCCCTTAATAGGTTCTCTTCCCCTCTCAGCAAGTCATTGCTGCACTGGGGAGACCCCTTCCCAACTTCCCTTCCCTTGCCTGACTTGAACACATTCTCAGGCCTGGGATAGCCTAGTGGTGCTGCCACCTGTATTGCGAGTACAAGGTCCCGAGTTCGATCCCCAGTACCAAAAAAAAAAAAAGAATTCTCTGAATTCATTCTTCACATTTAATACCTAAGTTCAAGATGACTCCCCACAGGGAGTGTCCCTAAGGTCTTTCTTCCCCCAAAGAAACCTGGCCCTGCTACTACATGCATTTGTCACAGCCAATGGCTATGTATTGATGACTGGTTATTATTTCAGAGCCTACAGAGATGGCTCCAGTCCAGGTTTATCCCAGAGGCTAACACAGCGCCTAGCACTTATTACAAGTTCTCAAATCAATGTATGGTAGCTCCAACCTTCC